CTCGGGGTGGTAACCAGACAGTGCAGCCTCCTCCCAGGCTGCTGCCCACCTGGGGTTCACGCTCCTCATCTGGCTCCGTATTGCTGAATCGCTTAACTGGAATGTGTTCTGCCTCCCCATGGAGCGTTTGCAACAAAAATGAAGGTGACACCTCCGCCTTTATCAGCAGAGAAGGATGGATTTCCGCTCTTCTCTCCCAGTTCTTCCAAGGTGGCTCCAACAAGCAGGATGTTTAATAAGCTGGGGCCGATGTGTGGAGCCACAGGAGGCCGGGAGCCCCGAGGACAGATGTGTACTGCCCACATGGACACCACTCCTGGGCCCCATGCACACATGGCACCATGTGGCCCCATGGCAGGTCTGACTCTTCAGGTGCCACGCATTCGCTGGGGCACCTGGCGAGACACTGTCAGGTAGAGCGCCCATTGGATTGGATGCCAGGTGCTCACGTCTGAGAAACCTCAGAGTGCGACTCCCCATGTCTCGGCACACACAAGAACACGCCCAGCGAGCACTACCCGCACCAAGGACCGGTGTCCCCTGAGCTTCCCCAGGTGCCCCGCAGCACACCTCCAGTCTTACGGCTGAGGCCCAGGGCAGGGGTCAACACCACTGCCCAGCGGCTCAGGTCTTCCTCCCCTCATACCCAGGTGGGCTGGACAGAAGGTCCTGTCGCCTTCCACTCACAAGCAGACCATGGATCCTGCTGACTTCCAGTTGGCAGCTGCTCAGGCCTTTGCAGATGACAGTGCCCACGGAGAGCCCAGCCCAGGCTGGTGTGTGGGGGGGGTGCGGCCCCCCTCCGCCTCCTGGCAGGGCTGAGGGCAGGGCCTCCAGGGCCTTTGCACAGCATAGGTCCTGCTGCTGGGACAGGGACCTGACCCATCTCCCCCTCCTCCCCAAGCGCCAGGCCACGCTGCCCCTCAGCCCTCTCTGACCCCTGGATGGAGGCTGGGTTAGGCGTGGTCTTAAACACCCTCCCCCCAGGGTAGATCCTCTGTCTCCATTGTACATGGAGGGACCCTACTTGTCCCCACAGGTGACTCTGGGCCAGCCCTGGATTCTAGAACGTCTGCTGGGAGCACAGGCTCAGCAGCGAGGTCTCCCTGCCCATGAATTTTTCATGCCTTTGTTTGAGGAGTGGGAGACCGGCAGCCTTCCTCAGCGCTGCTGTGACACGGTAATTAATGTTCACGCTGAGAGAACAAGGCCAGTCTCTGTGGCTGCTGAACAACCGTGTCAGTTGGTGGGGGGTGATCAGCGGCGCTCACCCCATGCAGATAGCTGCCCAGATTTCTGGAAGAGACTCGGTGATGGGGCTGAGCCCCGCTGACCTCCTGTGCAAGTGCCCTAGGGGAGCAGGCACCGTCAGGGGGTGCCGAGTGTGTGCAGGCCCGGAGGAGGACTTGGGTGCCTCCAAGTGCTGGTCAGATAACATGCAGGAAGGGGCTGGGGCAGATCGTGGTGATGGCGAAGGTGACAAGGGTGATGATGGAGACAACAGCGAGGGTGAAAGCGACCGTGGCGATGGTGACAACACTGACAAAGGTGATGAAGGTGAAGCTCATTCAGTGACAATGAAGGAGGTGATGGCTGTGGCAGCAGCTCACAGTTACAGAGCCCAGCCTGCCAGTCAGCTGCTGTTCTGAGCACTTCACTGCAGTGACTTGTTGAACCCCAAGCCCACCCCACTATGGAACCCCTCAGCCCTGTCTCTACAGATGAGGAGACTGAGGCTCCAAGAAGTGAAATGAGTGGCCAACATCACCATAAGTGGAAGAGTGAGGACAGAGCCCCAGGATCAGGCTCCAGAAGCCTCTGTGTGGCCATGTTCCCAGCACGTAACAAGGACCAGCACTCTGGCCCTCGACGTCAGGAGAGGCAGGGTGGGGTAACAGCGGAGCCCCCAGGGAGGCCTGCTAGCGCTGGGCAGAGCTGTCATCTGGGCGTGTGGCTCCCCATTCCCAGTAAGAGGCAGGATTTCGTGAGGAATCTCCAGATTTTTAAATATTGGCAGCGATTCTTTTTTAAACATTAGGACAATGGAAACCTCATTTAGCTTTTGGTTTCTTAAGCCTTGTCTCAAGGCCTGTCCACCCATGGATGGGGATCAGGGAAGGCCATCAGTTAAGCCTGGGAAGTACCACGTGTCCCTTGTTAACATCACTTCCGTGAACATGGGCGACACACAGCAACCTCAGACATTGCAGGTCACATCTGTTAGCAGAGTAACACAATGGCCTGGGACATGGAGGAGCTGAGCTCGGGGGCTCTGTGATGCAGGTCCCTGAGCTCAAGTATGTGTCTGACCTATGCTGGGTGGTCACAAGCTCCCCCCAGCCACTCTAGACTCACCTGGGTCCGAGGCATTAAGGCTGACATAGCCTGAGGTCTCTCGGGTGAGCTGAGGTGCACTCAGACTAACCCTGGGCTGACTGACAGATGGGCAGAGGGGATGGCCCTGGACGAGTGGTCCTACTGCTTCGTTTGCTGGCTTGACTACGCTGGGAGGAACTGGTAGATCAGTAGAGAGGTGTGGTTCCTGCTGAGTGGGATTGGAGTTAAGGGCAGGCAGGGAAGGTTGGGGTTGACGTTGGGCTCTCATCTGGGCCAAATAGGGCTCCCCATCTAGCCAGCAGCCATTATGGTGAGGGATACGAGCCAGCACTTGCAGGGCTGGGAGACACCTCCTTGAAACTCCCTGGGTTAGGGCCTTCAGCCATTCCAAAGGGGAGGGAAGCCCTCATTCTCATCTTTCTTGGAAGACAACAGTAAATACATTGAGTGGTGGTGGTGGTGAAAATACCATCTCACTGTATATGGTAATGAGTATGTGCCCAGCCCTAGAGCTTTGCACGTATTCACTCATATAAGCAATACAACAGTCCTGTAGGTGGGCCGTTTTCTGTTTTACAGTTGCACACCTGAGGCACAGAGAGGTCGTGGCACTTGCCCAGGGCTGCACAGCTCAGAGCAGGCATCTGCCCCAGAGCCGGTGTCTTGCCCTGCTTGCACACCCAGCACTTGCCTAGGGTCTGGCCCCTGCTCTGTGGGCTCCCTGCCTGGACCCCCACCCACACCAGGGTGGCAGTTTCCAGGGCCGCCCAGCCCGGCCCCGTGAAGGTCGCCTCGCTCAGGCAGTTCCCACAAGACAGATGCGGCTCTCTTTCCCTCCTTGTCCTGATTAATTGCCTCATTCAATTCCGACTCTATTGCAGTTAAACATTAATTCAGTAGGACTTAATAACGTGAATTCATTTACGACGCAGCCTGTGCTGGCTGAGAACGGTGAGCTGTTTGGTTAATTATAGGCTCCGTGCGCTCGCTGGAAGGCACTATCACCCCCTCCTCAATGTCAGATCATTTAGCTGTCACCAGTGGACCCGTACGAAGGTGCAGGAAGGCTGTGAACCCAGGCCTGGGGGTGCTTCCCGGGGAGGCCGAGGGACAGGTGTGCTGTGCCCTAGACCCAGCCTCCTGACAGCTTGATGGGATTGCAGTTTCCACCTCGGGGCTCCATGCCGCTAATTAAGCATAAAGAGGCCTGATTGAGGGTCTCCGGTAGCTCCGCTATTTCTGAAGGATTAGAGATAGTTCGTGCCAGCACTTCTCCAGGCCCCGCTCCCCACAGGCAGCGACCCCTTGGTTCCCTCCACCCTGCTTTCCTGAAGTGCCGGTCACATGGTTGCACACAGTCCGGGCTCTGCACGTGAAACTCTGCATGTTCAGGCCGCTCACCTTCCTGCTCTGCCTCCCAGGTGTCAGCCAGCCCTGAGGGGCAGGGGCCTCTTGCCGTGGTTGTCCAGCCAGGAAGCTGGGCCCACAGCCCCTTCTGCCTTTTGTGAAGGGACCCCCACCCCCCAGAGGTCTCGGATCAGGCCCTGCAGGGTGCACGTCAAGGCTGGGAGGCAGAGGGTCCATGCAGCTGCTCTCAGCTTCAGGAAGATCCCCCCAGATGCCCATCCCTGCTGCCACAGGTTGGGGTCCCCACTGTCCCCAGGGTCACTTTCCCACCACAGTGAAGCCCTAGGCAGGCTGGCACAACTCTGTGAACTCTTAACTGTACCACTCTAGCCCTTAGCCCCGGGCATGGAGGTCGTGTGCCCCATTGCTGAGTGGGTCTGGGGTAGACCCCCCCCCAGAAGCAACATGTGTCTGGGGAGCACCCCCACATGTCTGCCAGGGTCCCATCAGCCTCCTGTGAGTTCCAGGGAGATTTATTTTCAGCGGTATAATTCACTTGACACAAACATGTCACAATTATAGCTGTGGGAAGAGCTTCTTTTTCCTTTATATTCTTTTGGGGGAAAATTGCTGTGGTTTCTAGAGCAGCCTTTCTTTTTAGAGCTCTATGCTTACTGGGAATTGAAAACAAAGACATGTTTACACGATTGTCACAGTCTTTCCTTAACCAGCTGCCCTCCCGTGTGTAGTGGTTTCTACTGGGGCGTCTGCAGGGGCCGGGCAGTGGGAGCAGGCGTCCCAGGTGCCCCCACCCTGCCCCCGCCCTCGTGTTGCTCCGAGGCTGGGCTTTGGCGTCTTCCCTCCCCTGAGCCCTTGTCCATGGGCTGCATAGCCACTGAGGAGCCCCTCTCATCTCACCGCTCCCCTCTGGGAGGGGACCAGAGGGGAGTGGGGCCTCCTCCATGTGTTTCCTGGGGTTACCTCGTGGCTCTGGGCCCGCCTGGGCCTGGGGCGGTGGCTGGTCTGTGGCTCCCCGGTCACATGTCCTCCTTTGTCTCACCTCTGCCTCGCCTACACCCGTGCCCTGCCCCCACAGCAGGGGCTCAATGGAGCTCTGACCCAGAGCTTGCCAGGGGCCCCCAGATCCCTCCCAGCTCCTGGACAGCCCCATCCCAAATCTGAGGCCCCAGGTCAGGGTGGGGTTCTGCCTGAGCCGCCTCCTCTGGCCCTCCCTGCCCCCAGCCCACACTCACCTACTAGCAGCCAGCCTGCCTGTGGGACACTGACTCCCCTCTCTCTCTCTCTCCCCTCTGCAGTGCGACAGCGAGAGCGACGGGGATGACAAGGTAAGCCCCCCACGCTCACTTCACCTGCCCTTGCTGCTGACCTGGGCCCTGGCAGGCTGGGCCCCCGGAGACCAGGCAGAAAGGTTGTGGTTCTCCTGTGGGGTGTGCGGAGGGTGGGGGTGGCTTCCTGGGTGTGGAGGCACCAGCCTGGTCTGGCTGAGGATGCCAAGGATGTCCATGCTAGTGCTGCCCAGGCTCCCTGGGACTGCAGGACCGTACCCCAGTTCCTGGCCTGTCTGCAGCCATGAGTCCAGGGTTCCCTGGGATCGGGGCACCGTGGACAGAGTAGGGGTCACAGTCTGTTGGGCCAAGTGCAACCCCCAGTGTTTCCAGGCTGGGGATTACAAACATCACCCCCAAACAGACACTTCTGCTAATAGCAGCAGCACCTGGTCCCTCGAAATCCCCCCAGTCCCCCATTTTCAGGAACAGTGAAGTTTCCACTGTCTTGAGGTTTATGCAGTGGGCAGTTAGCACAGGGACAGTGAGGGGTCCTCCCACAGTGCCAGCGCCCTTCTGCATTCCTTTCCACAGCTCCTCCCTTGGCCCATGGGATTCGGGAGTCCTTCGTCCTGGTTATCTGTCAGTCCCTGTGTGTCCTGGGGGTGGGGGAAGAGCTCTTGGCTCAGCAGCTGTTTGCAGAGCACCTGCTGTGTGCTGAGCTCTGTGGGCAGGGATACAGTTGGGGGCACCACTTGGGACTGGCTCTCAACTTGGAAAAGCAGCAATGGGCATGAGACTCAATGGATGCACGCACCTAGCACTCACTCATCTGCTTGTCCCAAAGCACCATGGGGCAGGACCTGTCATTACCCGATGTAGATGAGGCGACTGAGGCACAGAGAGCGTAAGGAACCTGCCCAAGGTCACACAGCTGGAACCCAGGCAGTCTGGCTTCACCATCTTTGGTGAACAAGTGAACAGCCCCCCTGAAGAATCTTAGGTGGTGAGACTGGCAGAAGGTGGTCACACCGTTGTGATGGAGCCCCTGGTCCTCAGGGTGGGGCCCTGGGGGCTGGCACTCGGCACCGGAGGACGAGTGTCCAGGCAGTGAGGATAGTGCACGTAAGGGCACTTTGTGAGAGGTGGGCGGAAGGGCTGCTGAGCACTATTGTTTGGGCAAGGTTTTGTGAACTGGAGCGTGGTTCCATCAGGAGGTCTGTGCGGTGGGTGTGTGGTCCTCAGTTGCCACCTCCCTGGTGTGTCCTGGCCTGCCTAGACAGGAGCTGTGGATGGACAGATGGCCAGCCCCTCTCCTGCAGGCTTCATGCTTTAGCACAGCTCAGCCTGTAAGCAGGTGAGGAAGCATGGAAAGAACTCAAAGCCTACCTGGCAGATGAGCAGGGTCACGGCAGGCCGGTAGAGCACACCTGGGGTCCAGATGACAAGCCTCAAAGCAGGGGTACTGATCTGGGCCGGGTGGGTGTTTATTCCAAGGGCGGGGAGGTGTAGGTAGCGATGGGAGTCACATGGTGGATAGAGGAGGTGTGGGTGTGGGCATGGGGGAGGTCAAGGATGTGCTGTCCAAAGTGAGTTGGCCCACTTTGCCAACTCTGGGGTTGCTGTGGTCTAGACCATCCTCGGAAGGTGGTGAGAGGGCAGGGCAGCTGGGAAGTGTCTCTGGTCCTGGGTGCCCTCCCCTCAGCTGTCCTGTGAGTGGACAGGGCATGGTGGGTGCCGGCGAGGTGAGCCCCAGGCTGGGTGCCACGTTTCCACCGGCGCTGTCGCTCCTGATGCCTTTAGTGAATTAGATCATAGCACCTGGGAGAGGGCCATGCTGGCCCGTTGCCCTCAGCGCCTCCTTTCATTTAAAACCAACTTGCAGGAAAAGTGCTCTGAAGTCGAGGGCTGCTCTGAAGGGGTTTCTGAGACCCTGAGGCTCCTGAATGCTCTTTCCAGAGCCACCTTGTCAGCGCTGGCCCTGTCAGGGTTCTCCCTGCACCCTTGGGTCCACCGTCCTGCAGGAGGCAGGACCCTGGGAGTGGAGACCAGGGGCTGGAAGGGCAGAGCCAGAGCCCAGCCGCACATGGCCGCCCCGAGCACACACACCGAGAACTTCATGGGGCCATCAGCTCTGAGCATTGAGGCCGGCGGGCTGTGACCGAGGGCGCTCGGGGGGGCTGTGGCTTTGGCTTCCTCTACACTCACACACACACCCTCGAGCTGGCCCAGAAACTCACTCTGGCCAAGTCTGGGGGTGGTCTGGAACCTGTGATTCTTTCTGGCGATTCCCCGTGCAACCTGAGGGAAGAACTCCACTCTGGAGGGTCTTTGAGAAGTCTAGGGTCCAAGTCCCAGAGCCCTCTGCTGGAAGGAACTGGCTGGGTGCTGTGTTGGGGCCTCAGGGGGTCCTGAGGAGGAAGGGCTGAGTCCAGTCTTCCTCACGCTGACTGGGCCAGGGCCACGGTGGCGGGCCCTGAGTGGGCTGCCCGGGTGATGTGGGGACACACCCAATCCCACGTGCGACAGCCCCTGGCTCTGTTGCAGGGCCAGCCAAGGTCAGAGGAGGGAGAGAGAAGCCGCCCACTCTCCATGCCCCGGTGTACCCACCTACTCCATGACTGATGGGGGCTACAGTGAGCGAGTTAGCGCAGAGTGAGTAAGCCTGTCTGCTGCTGTTTGTTTGTAAGGAGACGCGTCTGCAGAAGTGGACAGAGCCACGTCATGCTTTAGAAAGCCCCTTGACTGGTAAGCCAGGGAAAGGTACAGGTTTCCTCCCAGGTCACCCAAATTTGCCTTCTCCGTGAGCATGTGGGTCTCCTGTGACACTCAGTTGTGTCCCTGGGCAGCTTGAGATAGAGGCCGGAGGCCAGAGGCCAGGGCTGAGATTCCATGCAACTGACAGCCTTGCCACTCAGCCTAGGCAGGAGGGGTCCTGGACGGAGCCACGTGAGCTGCCTGATGGAGGGGAGGTCATGGGGCTTCGCAGAGCAGTCCCCTAGGACAGGGGCTCACTCTAGGGCTCCAGGGTATTCACCAACCAGCATGGCTGAATCTTGGTATTTCTGCTACTGGGATGGGGATGTGCATGGTCAGAACTGACTGGCCCCCAGATCAGTTAGGAAATGCGTTTACTTCTGTAATGGAAACTGGACTCAACAGTGGCTTAGTAGTTTCTTTTTCTCACCTAAAGGCTTGGATGTCAGCCTTCTAAGCTGGCATGGCCCGTCTGCAGTCATCAGGTTCCTCTTTCTGCTTGGCCATTCTTGGCAAATGGCTTCTTCCTCGTGAAAGTGTTAGTCAGTCAGTCATGTCTGACTCTTTGCAACCCCATGGACTATAGCCCACCAGACTCCTCTGTGCATGGAATTCTCCAGGCAACAGTACTGGAGTGGGTTGCCATTCCTTTCTCCAGAGGATCTTCCCGACCCAGGGATTGTTGAACCCAGGTCTCCTGCATTGCAGGCAGATTCTTTGCCATCTGAGTCAGTAGGGGAGCCCTTCCTCAGAGTGACCACTTAATCCCCAGGGGCAGTTCTAACACCAGCCATCTGCATTCCCTCTTCTCACACCATTGATCTTACAGAGTGACTGATCACCTATGTGGTGAGGCAGGGATGATGTTAGTGCAAAGTGTCCAGTGGAGCTGAAGCAGAAGGAGGGAGGGAGGGGATGAGCTCAGAGGGGTCACGATGTAACAAATAATCATGGCAAGAAGTTCAGCTTTTGTTTCAAGCCCTGTGGGGAACCACCATCCTGGGAGGTCCCTGCCACACAGCCTTACCCCGGCAGTGCCCCCTGGGGACACTAATTTTGCACTAAGGGTATCAACTGTGGTTCAGGCTTCTTGGTTTCCTCCGTGGCAGGGACATCTGGTTACTCAAGGCTGTTTGGTTCTGAGTCAAGGTGGTGGGTATGGAGAGTTTGGATAACCAGAGAGACCTGAGTGCCTTCTGTCCTTTGCCCGAGCTGAGTTTCTGGACGATGAGTAACTTCCTCTGGGCCCATCAAAAAGCACGCACAGGTCAGAGGGCCCCAGCAGACACTCGCCCAGGACCTCAGCCAAAGTGACCATCCGCCTCCCCACCCCAGTTTGGCTGGCCTGTGGCAGGGCCCCCTCCTGAGAGCATAGAGAAGGCCTCTGCCCCCAGCAGTGCTCCGACTGCCTTCCTCCAGGAGCTGGACGGGAGGAAGGCCAAGTGTCTCCATAGGGTATCCAGGATGGCCAAAGTCCTGCCTTTAGGAGACCGCAAGAGCATGGGCGGGACGGAGGACAGCGTCCACTTACAGCAGCGCCCTGGCCTCCCCCGGAGCCTGGCAGCCAACGGGCCAGGGGGCAGCTCCCTGCGCACCCACGGAGGTGCCTCCCAGGACAAGTTAGAACAAGCTTAACCTGTTACTTTCCTTGGCACAGAGCAGATGTGAAGCAGCCAGTTGGAAGCCACCTGGGCTGCTCTGGGAGGAGAGGTCAGTGAAGGAGGAGCAAGCTGGGCGTGCAGGTGGGGCGGGAGAGTGAGAGGCTGCAGCCGATGGGGTCTGTCCACGCTGGCTCATCCACGTGCTGGGTGCTGGCAATGCCATGGCAGGCAGAGAGGGCGGGAAGGAAGGTCCAGGCCCATCTCTCCTGGCCAGTTTGCTCCAGTATCTGAGGCCAGATCGACCTGCCCCTCACACCTTGCCCCTACCCTGGGCTCCTGCCAGCCCACCTGCCCCTCCTCGCCAGCCTTGGGTTTGCCTCTGGCTCCAGGTGCAAACATAGTGAGGACATTGTGCCTCCCAGATACAGTCAGTCAGAGACCCAGACAGACAGACAGATGGATGGAAAGCCTCTCCACCACCTTTCCTTCTGAGGGATCAGGCCCTGCCCTGGGGGCAGCCCATGTTCTGGGCTGCAGGCCCCTCTCACCACCCCAAAACATGTGGCTCCCCCACACATAATCCCCCACATGCTTCCCCACGCTGCCCCCAAGTCCTGCTCTGGGCACCAGCCTGCTGGTGGGGAAGGCGGCCGTGCTGCCAGGAGGCTCTGGAGCCCAGCGGCCAGATGGCTGTGGTTGGAG